TTTTTTTATGTCAACGTTGGATATTGTCATTTCACATGATGGAATCTGTGGGACAAGATATGATCTATAGTAGACCAAGTATCTGGTGTAGTCTATATTAATGTCAACAGTAGGAGCTATAGCCTATGGTGATGTCAGGGACGGGAGCTTTAGTTTATGTTGATATCAGGGACGGGAGTTTTAGTCTATGGTGATGTCAGGGACGGGAGCTTTAGTCTATGGTGATGTCAGGGACGGGAGCTTTAGTCTATGGTGATGTCAGGGACGGAAGCTTTAGTCTATGGTGATGTCAGGGACGGGAGATTTAGTCTATATTGACGTCAGGGACGGGAGGTGTAGACTATGATGACGTCAGGGACGGGAACTGTAATATGTGACGTCACACATGGATATGTAGTTAATGGTGACATCAAAAACAGGAGACGTAATTTACGATGACGCCAATATGAGAACTGTTGTCAATGGTGACGTCAACGATATTTAATGTAGTCTATAGAAATATTTCGAGTCTATAGTGTCATGCATAGAGTCTATAATAACGAACATGTAAGGCGTATTGAATTAGTCTATAGCGTCGTGATAGGTCTGGTGGAATTACGATTATATTGTGTCGTTTAGGTCTAGTGTAGTTAAACGATATGGTGGGTTAAGTAGATATGGTGACGTAAAGTGTCTATGGTTTAGGGTATGGAACAACTTTTTACGGGATTTCTAGAAAAAAAGGAACATTTTCAGAAGTATCAATGATCGGTGGGTTTTCCAGATGAACAATTTTCCTAATAACCTATGAATCGGTCAAATACTTGTTGATGAAAAGTTCTACTTCCTCCACGGCGTCCGGACGATGAATGTCCGATAATACTTTTTTGAGTTCATGTAGACTTTTTTTGTCATCTTTCCATTGTTTCAACAATTGCTCTGTTGGATTAGGTTGATTCTCTAGGTAAGTCACGTGTGCACCACCTAAATCCATATGGGAAGCTAAATCACGGAAGTCACCAGCGTCAGAATTTGTCTTTGGATCAAGTAGGATTATTAACTTCCGGTCTAATTCTTGGCGTGGGTCCCCTTTATGGGATAACTTATTTACCTGAACAAAAAACAAACCGGTTTCAATATTTTTTTTTTTACCACGAACAGATAATATGCACGTAATCAACAAGTGAAAATCGAAAGTGTTTAGAAAACGGTTTTACCAATATATTTTCTTTTACACGCAGTTTACAAGGTAAAGTGGACATTTTAAATAAATCATTTTAACGGCTGTCATTCATAATAATGGATGCACGCATGCATTATTCTCCTTGTGACAATACCGATAAAAACTTCAAACGATAACCTACCGGCGCAACGTGTTCTGCCGAGACTTGGAGTGAGACCTTTCGTTCCACTGTCTGCTGCTGAGACTGGAATTCGCAGTAGATTTTGCTGGTAGATGGAGTAGAGGGGTCAAATACAAAGTTCGAGTAGGGTGTCATTGCGTGCCAAACACTCTCAAAGTCCATTTACTGTAATAGAGTGGTAACAAGGCATGTACTGTAATAGAGTGATAACAAGGCATTTACTATAATAAAGTGGTAACAATGCATGTATTGTTNTAACAAGGCATTTACTGTAATAGAGTGGTAACAAGGCATGTACTGTAATAGAGTGGTAACATGGCATGTACTGTAATAGAGTCGTAACAAGGCATTACGTCGACATATTTATTTACAGTATTAGGTCATATAAAAGTATGGCTTTGTATGCCTTCCTTACAAAGAAATCCTCGTCCCTCTGTTGTACCGAGTGGAGTTACGTTAGTTTTGACACGTCATATAGATTCAGTGGTTAAATAAATAATATAGCACTTCTTCAGTGTAATAATTTTGGTATTCGTAATATTTGGTTCAATATACATCAACAAAAATAAACATGGACTTGCTACATCACTGTTTCTTCTTCAGTTCACAGAAATACTAGTAATAACCACCGGGAACTGAGAATTTGTTACAGCTTTATAGAGCCACGTTTTCCATATTCATGAGGTTGACGTCAGCCACGTGCCGAAACATGTGGTGTGAATGGCTGCTTTGATTCCAAAAAGCGCAGCGATTTCCCCCCAAAATAACCAGCCAATCAACACCACATGTTACATTAACCCTGTGCATATGGAAAAAGTGGCTCTATGACTGAAAAACTTTAAAACTCGGAAATCGCATGTGGAGATCATGTCCGTGAAGGGGAGAATTCATTGTTTGTGCATAAAGGAGTTTTCAAAAAGAATAACAATATCCGTCTTTCCAACAGTACTAAGCATTTTATTTTTGCATCAACTAGAAATGTATGGCGGGTCGACTTTTCGACATGAGAACTTTCCTCACTTTTCATATTTATAATCCTTGAGTTGGCTGTTCTACCGAACGTTGCCCTACACCCCGCAAACGTGAAAAACTACCCTGAACACCTTAGTGTAGCTGTTACAAGTTCTCAGGTCCCTGTGGTAATTTTCTTTTTCAGTATAAAATTTAAAAACGTATCCCATTGTACAGCATTGATAAAGCAATACACGAATTTGCCCGACAACCTAGTACACTATGTTGGTGCTAGTAAAGTGTATTACCTGTGTCTTCTCCCCACACAAATTCCATCCTTGCACGTCCGTCTTCAACGAGACCGTGAGGTCTTTGCCGTTGTCATGGAATATAAGAGGCACTGGGGCGTTAGCCATGCTTCCATCTAGTTTGCTTTCCACTTTATCAACGCCCTGTATTAAAAATTCAAGTGAGAAAGTAACATTCAGAAATGAGCTTACGAATATGTCCTAAGACCAAACATGTCGCTACTAGATTTCCGTCTACCATCGTTATCATACGCATACAAGGATGCACATCTGTATCATACCAGACCGACACCCAAGCTCCAGTCTCATTGGTCGCTGTAATAGCCGACCGAATCAAACGGCATCTTTGGTCTCCATCTTGCAATGTTATCAGGAAAATTAGAAATCATTCCGCCGTTCTGGTGATAAAATAATGTTCCCTTCACATTGGGGAAAACCTCAATCAAATTACGTGGTCTGTTTTAACTATCAGAACCAAATACGTGTATGTTGTAACGTGTTTTATAGGCATGGGATAAGACATTTGCAATTTAATTGAGCTTTGCTGAAATGAAATGAAAACACTTGTATATAAAATGAAAACCTTATTTAAACATGTTATCAGAATAACAAAAATGTTTGCGAACATTCTTTAAAAACTGGTCATAATTTCCTTAACTTTTGTCACGCCTCTCAACGTCGCCTTCTAATGACCTCATGTCTATTATCTTCAATGAGACGTTAATATTGAAAGACGTCCCATTGTTTAAACTACGTGTATATTGTGTATGAGGTCACGATGACCGTTATTACATTAAAAATTCGCCGAGCATAGGAATGTATTCGCTGCATTACATGGTAGTCACGTGTTTAGGTAATACAAAGACGAAAACCTTAAAGATACTTAGCAGTCTATATGATTTAATCTAACCTTGATTTCTGTGTCGTAATCGTTGATGCAGTATATTCTAGTTTTGAACATGACGCCCATTTGAAGCGTTGGAGTGAAGGCGATCAACTTGACTTTCTTTGCAGCCGTTTTATCTGGCTGAGACTCTCCTACCATTGTGTACAATGTGAAATGTTTAAGACTGACTGTTACATCAGATTCTGTAAAATCTCTCTCCTCGTAATCGTCATGTGTTAAATTCGTCCATTCCGACTGGTTGTCAAGGTTACCCTGACGTTTTATCACCCGCGGTATCCAATCACTTATTACTTGGACACCGCAATGTGGAAACGTCAACTTGACAGGTTTAGCAAACCGTATACAAGGTTGACACACCACCACAGGACTAAGATGTGCTTGCTTCTTTTTTAACTTCGGGAGAAGAGCTTCATCCCACGTGATTCCTAAAGTTATCAGCTTAGATTCGTTCAACGCACCAGGAGGGATTTCTAAAGTTAAACCTGACATCTTAAGTATGTCGCCATTTTTACCGATACTTTTGTGAACGAAAACACCCTTTTCTTGGGACACAGATTTGCTAGACGAGTCGGGAGTTGCTATGGGGTTCTGCATTAGAACAGAGGTCGGTCGACCCTGCCAGATTGATTGTCGAGAGAGAGGCGACAGCGTGCCCACCGTGTCTCTTTCATCATAACTCTCTATGTCAATCTCATCCACTGTAGCAACAGCATCACTAGCGTCGGCGTCGCGGGAAAAGTCTTGCGTCATAGCTACCATCTGCGGCATGGCAGTCCGGGAACCAAACATGAGGGTGTGTCGATTTTTAACTTTGATTGTGTATTGTGGTTTGATCTTGAACGACACGGGACTTTGAGAAAGGCCATGTTCATTGCCGTGTATACTATTGCCATTTGTACTGTATGTGTCACACATGTCCACTGCACTGTCCGCTCTCATTTCTCCTTTTGGTTTGGATCTCGTCCTAGAGACCACAACTTCCGGTTCCGTCTCCACCCCGGTCCCGCCCTCTTCGGCTGACTTCAGCTTGTCAATTTGTTCATTCAGATCTAAAATTTCATTGTTTTGGAATCTTAGTTTCTTTATCACGAGAAACACAACAACGATGAAAGCTATGATGACCAACAAGAGGAAAAGGCCCAACACTATGAATCCCGCAATCTGAAATCAAAAGCATTAATTATCTTTTTATATTTATCGGTGGCAAATATTCGTAAAGATAAAGTAATTGTTTTTTTTTTACTGTTTATAAACACTAAAATACCTTTGCTGTTTTTGGCGCACATATATTGATTGGAACCATTTTCTATCGTTTGTCCCTGTATGACCTATTTCTGTTGATGGTTATCAAGACTATCAAATATAGTTAACTTATATTGTGTTGATGGACCTGTTTAGATTGCTTTCATCGAAGCGCGTGACTTACATTACATACACATATATTTGTGTAGTATATAACCTTGACCTGTTACACAGAACGTAACTACTAAGTACTACACAATATGTAAATCAGGGTGTATTTATACACACGTATATCACATATCTGGTGTCTAATAGAATGTTTATTTAAGAAACCCTTCAAAAAGTGACGAGACTAATAAGTAAGCATCTGTTTCTGTATTATTACTCACCACGCCTAA